GTGTAAAATTTGTTTCAATTCATGACCCAAAACACGTCCAGGATATTCCAACACAAGAATTAGCCGCAAAGTTGAGCAAGAGGGGAAGGGGGGGTGTGGGGGGAGTTTAACCCCCCTCCCTTCGCTCACAAGGACACCTTGATTTGAGCAGCGGACGTCAGAACCACTCCCTGCTGCGGTTCAATTCCGGTCACTGCCCCAGAATGTAACCTGTCGGGTGTCCGATCAATAAATAATGCAGGGTCGTTCCAAAGATAATGACCGTTATCGTTGAAGAAAAAGCGAACGTTTATTATGCCTCTCATGCAATGAGAAAAATGTGAAAGTTGTTCACACGATGAAAGCGTGAAAGAGTTATCTCCCACCTATCTCGGATGATCTCGTTCTCATCCTTCCCAGCCCAAAGACAGAGGTCGCCCCTGGGAAGTGTGAAAGTGATGCGATCGCGATTGGCCGGTGGCGATAGGTTCAGATTTGGTACTTATTTTCCTTTCTTTTTTTTATATTACTCGTCCATCATTCTATTTTCTTAACTACGCCGTTCATATTTAGGTCAATGGTAAAAGTTATGTTGACTTAAGATATTTCCGAGTTGCATAAGGGCCATGAGAGAATACTGAAGCAATAAAAACTCATGAATGCAATAAATATATCTGTCGCAAGCACTTGAGTATTCAAGCCGTCTCGGTTCGGACGTGAAAAAGCCGAAGAAACTCAATTAGCCGCTGAAGCGAGGGAAGATCTACGAGGTTACTACACGAAAGGAGCCTCCGAAGATGATCCACGTGAGGCCTTTTATTCTCTCTGAAGATCCGCGTGAGGCCTTTTATTCTCCCAGATTGATCGAGCCTCCCCAGAGGTGAGAGTTTCGTCATCGGAAAGGTCCTGGCATGGATCACTGACCACGGGGGAAAAACATAAATTGAGATTCTTCCGGATGAACGGCAGCTCCTCGTCTAATGAGCATTGAGTAACAGCCATCGGATCCAATACTTCATTAATCCTGCGCCCTGCTGAGCTAAACAAATCCCCCCTCTCTCGTTTCGCTCTATTATTCGTGACTTGTGAACCTCCGAAGCCATTTCTCAGCCTCTTCGAGTCCATCACGCCAGTCGACGCGAATCCCCGACGGAAAACTTTCCATCCGCGAACACGCACGAGATCGACGAGGGACGTAAATGCGCGAGCTGGCACGAACACGTCAGTCGGCGGAGTCAAGGATCAAGGGATTTGATTCAATGTACGTAATAGCAGGCCGGGGACGTGTCAGAGACAAGAGCAGTTCCACGCCCTTCCGCGACCCGAGCCGGATTACGTCACCGGTGGAAGTGGGGGGGGTGAAAGGGGGGGAGGGGGAGGGGGCGAAGGGGGGGAGGGTCACCTCCAAGCCTTTTTCTTCTGGTCTCATCAGTGAGAGTCGTGATCGAGCGAGTGAGCGTGGAGAAACGCGGATGATGAGAACGGAAAAGAGTTAGTGATATTTTGCAAGGATCCAATTGGAAAAATGTTCGTTTTAGAATGGGATCACGTGCGATAGAAATGCAATGGAAGGAATCGCCGATGCTTTAACGACCAGAAGGACACAATCTGCACGAGAACCCCGAGGACCTTCGGGTGGAATCTAGTTTTTAATCTCTCACATCCATTCAAAACTATATAATTTCCACCCGGGCGCGTGAGGGGCAAAAATAATTCATGTTTCGAGGGCATGCAGGTGTTGGAAGGAAAATAGCGAAATCCCCCTCGGACACCCCCCGTGAATGATATGATGTGGCCATGGGGGCTGGGTCGATCTTGCGTAATGGGCCTCTATCTCCACCTCATCTTGTGCCGTTCTTTTACACTGCATCCCGAAAAAAAAATTGTTGCAACACTTCATTGCCACTCAAGGTCCCCCCGATCTATTTCCAGGCAATCAGCAGTTGTTGGTCATCAGCAGTCAGCGGCCATCAGTAGCCATCGGTCATTGGTATCAGCAGTCAGCGGTCATCAGTCATCATCAATCATCAGCAGTCAGAGGTCATTAGCGATCAGCAGTCCCGATCGGTACCTCGTTCGTACCGCGAGTTCGGCAGATTTTTTTTTGCATTCGCTCCGAAGATGAGGGAGGTTTTATAAACGCAGGGGAAAGTGTGGTTTTCACGCACGTTCCGTCGTGACAAAAAGCGAAACTTAATTACGATACTTTTCTCTATCGTGGGGTCATCGGTCCAAGTACTCCCGGTCTCTTTCAACACGTGCGTGGGGCCGTTTAGTGAGCTCGTGTGGAACCGACTTTTTCCGCTGGTAAATTGCAGAAACAATGAAGGAGAACGCCTATTTTTCCGGTTGCCCGATGCCTAGGTTTCTTTTTAAAAGGCTTCGAGGAATGGAATCGAAGCTCGTTTGGGGAGGGTGATTGCGAAATATGAGGGTTAGACCATTTACAGATTTGCTTTAAAATCAGACTCTGAGTACAAAATTCCATTCTGGTGTGTGTATTAGTTGTGATGGCGAACGAGTAGTGTGCAGTTTGGGTAAAAAGTCCTATTACCCCCAATGGAAAATGGAAATGGAAAATCCGCGTCGTTGAAAATAGCATCCTTTAATTACAATTTTATATTACATCATACGGTTGTTTACAGCATAACGATCACTCAAAACGAGTTATCGCAGTTCTGGATTCCTCGCCGACCAGTCCAGTGGTGCTGGGAAAGCCACGGCCTATCCGCTGAGCCACGACATATCCGTTGGTCTTTAAACACCCCATTAAGATACTCACGAACTGAGATTGCGCAATGGCCAGGTGCTCAGTCTCGCTGAAACCGAACCTGTCCAAAGTTTAAACGTTCTAATTGTGGCACAAACCAATCTTTCAACGTAATTAGGGCTTTTCTTTACTCCAGAAATAAACGTTCCTTGCACGTGAGCTTCGATAAATTGTACATTCGTCGGAAAATATGATTTACTACGATGCGGAAGTGGCCTGAATAGCTCAAAGAAGCGTGTACAAGTGCCATGTCTATTCAGCATATTACTGTCTGCTGTTTTCATTGAGGAGGCAATATCATCAGCAGATATGCTCGTGATTATCTTTCAGAATTAATTTGCTGACTTTGGGGCATCCTCATCCCCATTATAATTTCTATTCCGCGTTTTTTCGGTGCACCACACCGTGAAACTTCGGCTTCCATGATGGGAAAGAAATCGGAATGTTTCTCGTCTTGGGTGGCATATTCCCACGGTCCAGAACGACAAAATATTCTTTTTTTTTCACCAGGAAAAAAAAAGAACTGGTGTCGTTAAACTCTGCGTCTGGATTGTTCTGTCTGATGGGAGATAAGCTTAGGGGAGAGGAGAAAGTTAAGCCGTGTGGAATTTCCCATCTGATGGGCTTAAAGTTTCCTTTCCTCCATTTTTCGTCGCCAAGACGTTGACGGCGTCTTCCCCTGGCGATATGGATTTTCTATGAAATTATACTAAAAGCCTTGGATCTCGTCTTTTATCACGTCGTCATACATGCAGTGACATATGTCATGGAAATGTGTTCCCTTCCATTATCGTAAAGCAGTTGATAGATCCTAGAGGCATTAACGTGTCCTTTCAGATGTCCCCCATGACCTTGTATCGCACTGACATCAGTATTTAACCGCGTCATTCCCCGGGGAAGCACATAAAAAGTAAGAAAAGTTGGATTTTCCTCCAGTGTCTCGTCCCTCGCAGTCGTCCTCACTCCTTCCTTTCCTCCTTCCCTTCCATGCCTTGGCGATTTCTTCTCTTCGGCGAAGGCTGGAGCTTCACGCCGTGCATCGGCACTATCTCGGCGGCTACTTTCCTCACGTTTCGGTCGGTGACGGAGACGTGGAACTACTTTACTATACCTGGATGTTTCAAACCCTGTCTCCGCGGGTGTCCGAACGATATGGTCCCGGGCATTTCGGCCCCGAAAATATTATCCTAGGACAAAATGGGCAAAATGATCCCTACTGTTGAAATATGACATGACAGCCTATCGAAAGCTAATTATGTTTGCATCTCCTGCTGAAGATTATCTAAAATCCATGCAAAATCTCCATGAATCATACTCCTGAGTATGATTCATGGACATTTATTTCTATATTGCCAGACTTTCTCGGAAAGTTCCAATTTACCACTTCCTTCATCCCAGAGATAAGATATGCTATGGGAGAATGGACGAATTTATTTTTATATATCATGCGACCCTTACCCTCTTCCCATGTCTCTTCCAAACATTGAGTTCTCGTAAAATGTCTTTCGAGTCTCCATGTAAGGGGACACGATGATCAAGTAAAGGGAAATTAAGGTGGGGCCAAGCACTAAGCTAAGGATAGCGGAAAACAGGGGAAGGAAGAAGTGGAAAAGAAATAAACTTTCCAATATTCTACTAAAGTGGATTGGTAACGATAGCTCTTTGGCAATATGGAAATAAACGTCTCCCTGAATCATAGCCACCTTACAACCTCAAAGTTTATGCGGAAGCAAATTTTAAAATATTTTCTCTAGTAGCTGATTATGCAGTCATATTAATCATAATTGACTTTGGATTGACTGTCATGACACCTTTCAACTGCAGGGACTGCGTGGATTCCCCTTCCCTTCTCAACGAAATCGATGTCTCGTCAGGTCTAGGTTGCATTCAGACCTTCATTCCAATACCAAAAATACTGATTTAGAGAATTTTTCGGGGCGAAACACATCCAAGAAGGATGGCATAATTGCTCGAAGGCACTCTGCTCGGTATCCGGACAAAATGGCCCCGGACATTTTGGCCTTCATCGCCTTCTTATGTTTACCAGACTTTTTTTTTCTTCATTACCGATGCAAGAAAATGCTGCTCGCGGCTGTGAGCTCGATTTCAAATCGACAAGGAACATGTTTAAGGGAAAAGGCAGGCGCCCTAATTTCTCAATGGTATCCAAGACATGACCGAGAAATAAACTGAGACCATTGGAGTCGGATTTCGTCTGAAGCCGTTGTCTCATCGTAATTTATCTTTTCCCATGTGGGTCACGTTTTTTTTTTTGGCCAGCAGAAGGAAATGATGCAATAGAAGTCTAATTCTTCCCTGAAATTCTAACAGACTTATGAAAATGAAAATAAACATGACATCCTAAGTAACATATATTATAATATGTACCTTTAACAACCAAATTTTTTTAGAATTTGCGTTGCACATATGGAAATCCTCAAAATTCTGGACACATTTATTCCACGTGTATGATCAGCAGATTCAGCTGAAAGAATAAAAATGTAGTATATATTTTTTACATCTGGAATTCAGTATCTCTGCTATTATCATGCAAGAGGCAGTTAATGAAAGATCGATAACTTCGGTATCGATCGGTAAATTCAACCGGAAAATTGGAATTCGGAACAAACGGCGGGATTGGGCACTCTGAATCTTTGAGACAATTTGAATGGGAGCAAGTCAAATCAGGAGCATTTGGAAGGGGGTATTGTGTGTTGTTGGAGGCTTTGGCACTTAGCACTGCCGTTACGACAGAGGTGAAACGCCGTAATATTCACCATCTTGTGGGAGCTTTATGACAGCTTTTTTCTTTTCATTGTAGAATGTATTGGAGGTGGAACCTTAGCTCTTTTTTCCTCCGCCCTCAATGATTCAGGAAGTATTCAACCACAATACACACACTGTAACTAATTTGTATTTTGTAACTGAAAATATTGAATAATTATTAGTGAAAGTCGCTGTTTTGTGTCCATGGCAGTATCCCTTCGCCCTTGGAAGGGTAGCTTTTCCAGGAAAATAGAAATGTCTTTGAACTGGGGTCATTAAACGAAGGAAAAAAGATTAGGGGAGAACAAAAGAGAGGGGAGCAAAACTCAAAGTGGGAGGTGGAAGTGGAAGGTGGAGGGGGGCAATTAGGGACGACATTTGTCCGCCACCACCCCCTTCGTCACACCCCTTTTGCTTGTCAATCCTAGCCAAGCCTCCAGTCCCAAAACCCTATATAAAGAAGGGTACAAAAAATTTTCGGCACTGCAGTCCTCACGACTTCGTTCCTTGTATTTCTCATCTGTGATCTTTGAGGTTCATCCCGTGCACCATGATTTCCAAGGTGAGGCTTCGGCTCTATATCTTTTAGAGATCTAGGAATTCGCCTAAATTGTTTTCGGTAAACTGGTGAACTATTTCGGTAATTAACATCTTTGTTCAAGAACTCGTTCGACTCTTGTTACATCTCTTGTTACAATCACATCTCAATATTTCCTTGTTTCCCAAGACAGTACCTTGGTCTAACCTATATCATATACTTTCCGCAGGTCCCATTTCTAGTTCTCCTTGCCTGCGCTAATGCCCTTCCTGTTCCTGATGGTGCTCATCATCCCCTGCCAATATCCCAGCCTCAACCTAATACTGATAATGGCTATCCCCCCTACACTCCTCCTGCCAATACCTACCAAGTTCCTCAACCTGTGTACCAAGCTCCTACTCCTACATATCAGGCTCCTCAACCCGCTTACCAAGCCCCTACTCCTGCTTCTGTACCTTCGCCACTGTCATCTTACGAAGCTACTCAACAGGGTTATGGTGCCATCAAGCCCCCTGTTCCCATTCAAATCCACTACGATTACGCCTTCAATGCCGTTGGTGTTGCCAAGCCAAAGCCTGAGACCCCTTCCGGATACGTGGCCCCCCAGGAAACCTACCAGGCTCCTCTAGCTGGATATGCCCCAGTTCAGACAGACAATGTGCCTCAGGATTACAACGTTCCCGTCCAAGTTTCTTTTGACCAGACTGGCTGGATTGGAGAGAATGCCGAAGAACAGGAAGGCGAGGTGGAAGGATATGCAACAGTTGAGGGACTCAACCAAGAATCCAACGTGGTGAGTGTCCCTTAATTCTCGTTATCGAGTTATCGTACCACCAATGGGCTGGTTCTATTTATGTTCTTTGTCCATTGTCAGACTTCTCCGCCCAAGTACCACTTCGTGTACACTGTGGATGGTCAGTCTATTGGGGATGTGAAGGGACATGAAGAATCCCGCGATGGTGAATTCACCCAAGGCAAATACTACGTCCTTCAACCAGACGGTAGGGCTTCTATTTCTTCTCAATATTCAATATTAGCATTAAAATCTTAAAATGTTCCGTTATAAATATTGCGGTTTTTCCAGGTAAAACTAGGACGGTGACGTATCACGCTGATGACGGGGGATTCAAGGCAGACGTTGTCTACGTTTAGATACCGTTAACGTGCCTAACGGTGAATGTTTGGTTTTGTCCTGTGCAGGAGCCCTGCCCTTGTCTGTTATCTCTGTGATTTCGCGTGCGCCTGTGGTTTACGTACGTTTTGTTTTGTTTTGCTGTCTTGTCCGATTGCGTGATGGCTGCTCCTTGTTTTGACCTCGAAAGATGTAATCCGTACTGTTTGTCCGATGTGTCTGTATGTCCGTGTATTTCGTTGAGTAAACTCCATGAGTTTATTGTTGTCCCCACCATTATTTTCTATACTATATAAGTATAGAGAGATACGTGTCAAATACAAAATGTCCACAGTCCAGTTAAGTCGTTTCTTTAAGTTCTTAAAGTTAAGTCGTTTCTTTTCCGATTCCGAGTGTATAACCTCTTATACCTATGTCCATTCAGGGCCGTAAATACCCCATGTGACTCCCAGGGGTAGGGAGTCATGGATGCTCTCTGGCGTTTTTCCTGACTTGCCAGTCCTGCCTGCCAGTCCTCCTAGACTAGTACCTGCGTAACAACGTTGAAATTTGCACGCCCTCCCTTTAAGCGAATGAAGCGAAGTTGGCGTTTTTTAATTATACGTAATAGTCATGAGCTCTTGAGTATCCGATTGACACGCTCACAAGTCGCCCTCTATAATTAGGCTTCGGAAAAAAGGCACCTGGAAAAAAAAAACACCCAGAAAGTTGAAAAAATATTGAAAGGAAGCTTTTTCACCAAAAGCTGAAAAAAGCCACCTGAGATGAAAATGTATAAAAGCCACCCGGGTTGTTGCTTCGTAATTGTTCATTTTCTATATTTATACATATCAGATAATTAAAGACAAGCATTCACTTGGCGATGTTGAGACAAATGGGATGTGGCTCATAATTATCCATGTTTTTAATATTTTAGGGTGGATTTCCATAAATTATTCAAGTAAAATATGACTGATTTTTCGTTTCATTATGAAGGGAAGAAGGACTTTGTTCAGCTCATGGACTCATCTCAATGCAATGCTTGAACAGACATCGGGGTTCGGGGAGGGGGGTGGGGGGTTGAGGAGGGGAGCTAATCCTCTCCACTCCCTGGAAAAAGGTGTGAAAGTGGATAGGGGGAGGTAACATTAAGAAAAACCTTACATGACCCCAGAACAATTGTTATTGGAGAACAAATTCCAATAAGCGAGAATGGAATCACCTCATCCTGCAACACGGCCATCAAAGACTTCCTGCAATATTGTTCATTTTTAGGGAATGTGCTGAAGTTGGACTTGTTTTATTTTTCAGAACATCACAGTGAAGTTGATTACATGACATCAAAATCACTAAATGTCCCAAAATGAATGCGTCTTTAAAATGACCCGAACATAATGGAATGACACTTTTCTGCCGTTGCCAAATCTGGGAGTCTTTTTTTCCTAAACCCCTATAATTACAGCACAGCTTTCCTTACTTTGCGAAACGCAAAGACAAAGACAAAGTCAATGACATGTTCAAAATCCACTTGCTGCTTGATTTCATTTTCACTGTGCAACACTTTTCCTTTTTTTCTGTGCCTCATTCCCCTATCCCTTGCTTCGCCCCCCCTCCCTTCTCGGCGCCCCCTTCCTTAGGTGGCGCCCGGGGCAGGTGCCTCCCCTTATTCCATTTCTACGCTGTTAAAATTGTCACTAAAACTTGTTACCAGGATTATCCGATTTTCGACTGCAGAATTTCCAGTTGAAGTTGAGCTTAGCAACGTAGCTGCGATTGTAGCTACCATGTGAGATACCCTAAGATGTCCCTTGTAGGATCCGCGACACAGTTCCAATGCCATTCCATCGTGTGGGCTGAATTCAAGGTCAGAATCTGTCCCGGAATGCGTGGGAGAGAGACAGGTTTAAGTCATAAAAACATGATATATGAAACAACACATTAGATATTTCCAACTCTGAGATAGCTTAACGAACCGAGATCTACCGCACTTAACTGAGCTCCAATTGACCTTGGGCAAGACCTTTGTGCCGTGTCCGACATATTAGAACTGAATCTGTCTCTTGAGTTGCCGTTTTCTTCATCCTCGGTCGTACGAGGTCGTCGTTTCTCTCTTCATCTCATCATTCTCCTCGAGTTCTTAGGTCTTAGGTTATTGATAGCAGAAAAGGCTTCATGTAATCTTGTATATATACTAATTTCCAGTTCCGGGCTTGCAATGGCACCTAGAGCAGTAATGACGATAAAAGGCTGACGCGCACATGTAGGTATCCTCACCAGCATGAAAATCATGACCGGAGTCACTTTCAAAGAAACAGGAAGAAGTTCCTTCTCATCTCGAGGGGGAATGCTGCAGACGTGCTGAGTCAGGAGTCACGTCAGTGTCTCCTAGGATAAAGGAATTTCTATTGCGAAGCAGTAGCACCGGCTGAAGGGAATCATGGCGGCATCAGGGGAGACCACGGGTGATCGCTACGACGTCGTTATTTTCGGTGCCACCGGATTCACTGGGAAATATGTCGTGCGAGATTTGATTCAGACTAGGAAGCAATTCTCGGAGTTCAAGGATCTCACATTTGCAGTCGCTGGAAGGAACAAGGAAAAGCTCTGTGAAGCTTTGAATTGGGCCATCTCCTCTGCCAAGGCTACCGGTGAGTGAGTTGGCCCAACTGTTCCAATCTCAATGCATGGGAAGAGCCAATCGCGAGTGTCAGTCATCTGAAAAAAAAATTAATGCACGTTTAGACTAAGCCTGAAGCTGGGCTAGGCTCTAGGCTAGGTTCTTTCCATCCATCGACAGGCTAACTGACAGGGTTTTTGCCTCCACTTCGGTCATTTTTTTTGCAGACGTCGATGCAGGGAAGGTGCCAATAATTACTGCAGATGTGTCGGACCAAGAGTCGCTGCTCTCTATGTGCAAGAAATCCAAAGTCCTTGTCGATTGTGTGGGACCGGTATGAGCAAATTATGGTTTTTTTAAAGTCTGTCTTTCTTGCAGTAATTTTGCATAGATGTGCACCTACATCCTATTACATGATACAGTTGAAACATTTGTTCCATAAAGGCTGCTGAATTTTGGCCATTATACCTTTTATTGGCCAATGTATACATGTTAAATTTCCATATTTGTCTGGCTGTCCCTAGTACCGGTTTTATGGAGAGCCTGTGATAAAGGCATGCATTGAAGGTGGATCAAGTTATGTTGACATCAGTGGAGAAACTTATGTGAGTTCTTCCCTCATGCAGTAATCAAGAAAATTTAATGGACACAGCCCTTCATAGGATTTGATTCATAGACTGTCTTGCTGGTTAATGATGCAGTTTTTGGAGAAGATGCAGCTGGACTACCACGAGCAGGCAGAGGCGAAGGGAGTATACATTGTTGGAGCATGTGGCTTTGATTCCATTCCTGGTGATATGGGGACCATTTTCCTTCAAGACAATTTTGAAGGTTTTTCACCTGCTACTATATGCTATGATATATCTTCATTAGGGCTGCCTCTGTGATGTGGAGGAGAAATGCAAATTGCAATCTTTTTGCAGTGATCTGGTGACACTCACTTTTTTTTTTTTTTTTTTTTTTTTACAGGGGAATTGAATTCAGTGGAGACTTACCTGAAAACTGAACAAGGACCAGCTGTGAGTTTCCTTTGCAAAGGGTGATTCCTTATCAATGTGACAGGAAAGTAATATTTTGGGGATTAGAGTAATGAAAGTAGGAGAAGTAACTTCATGGTTTTTCATCTAATTACCATCATATTAAAATTTATTGTCAGTACTTGCCCTGGATTCACCCGAGTCTTTCTGAAAGAAGAATACGCTATTAACTACTAGCTGCTTTATGGTTGAGGCAGCATTAAGTACACTGGTGGACAAAATTAAGGTAAAAATCACAAAAACCAGAATAATGTTTTTATTCTGTGAGGTATGTAAATGGAAATTTGTACAGAGGTACAATTTATCATTACAAATAAGGAGAAACTTTGGACCAGTAATAACAGAGTTATGCTAATTACATTGTGAAACAAATAATTACATGTTCTACAGACATGCTTAGAAGTAGTCAATAGGTGCCTCCTTTTTATAGGCTTCACTAATTTGCATGTTGCAACACACGTAGATCAATTTTGATTGGCTATTCAGAATTGGCATGTAAAATTACAGATAGTAACATATTTTCACCTCATTTACCATTGTTATTAAACTATTGACGAAAAACGGTGTTACCTTAATTTTGTCCACCAGTGTAGTTCACTACTGATCAATATTTTATTAATATTTATGTACCCATTGTGACACATGCTACTTGCTTACAATGCCGTTCTCATGGTTTTTGTGTCAGTGGGAGAAGTGTTTCACCAATGCCATTCTTGGATCTGACTCGAAATTTAATTACTTCTTGTACAGGGATATCGAGTGAACTATGGCACTTGGCTATCAGCCATCCACTCCCTTGCAAATACTGGAGACTTGCGTGGTGTTCGCACCAAACTCTACCCCAAGCCATTGCCAAAACCCAAATTCAGGATTGAAGACAGGTTTGTTGCTATGCCCAGTCTCTTGAATAACTGTCAGTTGGTTCTTTTTCGCAGAACTCAGAGTTGGTATTTTGCCTTGGAATGTGTAATGATGGGAAAAGAAAGTGACCATGCATATTAGTTCACTTTTGTAGCCAGAGGCAAGGATGCCTATGGGCAAGGATGACAAGAGGCTTCTCATTTGAAAGAAAATAATCTTTATGACCTTAGTTCTTGCAGTCAAGTGCAATGGTGTAGCTCTCTCACCTTGAAACTGGTATTCTCATGCCTCAAAATGTGTTGTTTCGTTGCTGCAGGTAGTGTAAATGTAAGTTTCTTTTCATAGGTTACACTTGACCCATTATTACACAACATGGTGCTTTTGAACCCTGAGCTCTTATTTGCAAGCAAACTTTATTGCATTTTACTTCTATGGCATCGATTGGATGCAATTCACAAGATATAAGAAAATTTAGCTTTATTCCAATTGAAAAATTTGTGGAAGAGAGTGTAAAATATGCATATTGAGATGTAGAATGACTCATACATGTGCCAGTACCAGTCCCCCAGCTCCATAAATTTTATTCAAGTTCTTATCCATGATGTTAATATCTTTCCAGGGGAAAAATGCACCAAAATCCTGATGTGCCTGGCTATAGTCTCCCCTTCTTGGGCTCAGACAGGCCTGTCATCCTTCGATCCCAGAGATTCTTGTATGAGCATGAGAATCGCCGTCCAGTGCAAATCCAATGCTACTTCACTCTTGCTTCACTCCTGAACACCATTGGCATTGTGCTGTTCGGTGCCATTTTCATGTTCATGACCAAATTTTCCTTCACTCGCAAGCTTCTGGAGGATGTGAGTCTCTTTGTGAGTTTTGCATCCTGAAAGTACAGTACATTCATTCACATAGTGATTCTTTCCTTAATAGCATCCATCCTTCTTCTCCTTTGGGATGTTTTGTCGTGGAGGACCAACTGAGGAGCAGGTAGGAAGGATTCTATTGGCAGATTTGATATCTTCCAGTTTTCCAATGAACTAGGGAGTGATTTTGAGCTAATTTGAATTTGATCATAATTTGTGGTGACAGATTGAAGGTGCCAAGTTTACTGTGACATTGATTGGGAAAGGCTGGTCAGAGAAGACATCTGAAGCATCAGATCAACATGCTGATCCACCTTCCAAGGAAATGATAGTCAAAGTGAGTTTAGCCTTGAAATAAAATTAAACTGGAAAGATGTATCATATATTTTATGCCACATCATTTCAGTTATTGTTGCAATATTGGCTTTGAGGGCTTGAAGAAAAATTCAACTCCCTTGGAAGCTCCTCCTGCATCCAGATTCTTATTGCTGTATTTTTGTGGAGGGAAAGGGAACAACATCAGAACCTGGTGTGCACAGTGAAACCTCATATTGATTACAGAGAGAACAGACATAACAAATAATTTTCACTCATAAAAAACCTGACTACCAGTTTTTCCAAAGTCATTCCCTGAAAGAACCTTGAAATAATGTCAAAAACAGCACATTATGTAATGGTATCTACCAAGAAAAAGCTTGCTTGTAATCAATCAGATGTTCAAAACTCCCCATGCTATCAGTGAGATGCCTTTCAACTTAAGTATACATCTAATATTTCAAACCAGCCAGATTTTTATCACAACTCATGTGCATAATAAATCACATCAATTTAATTTCAGAATTTCATAGTATCTTACATTTTTTAGGCTTTTAACCTTACAAGTGTGGAATTTCTAAGACACACTCCAAAATGGGGACTTTTTCGTCGTGAGAGTTATACTTAGTGTTTGTATAGAAGAAAATAAATTCATTATTCTTTTTTGAATACTAGAGCAGCATATTTATATGTTTAATTTTTGAATTTCATTTTTGGAGTTTTTATTTAACTCAAACTTGAAAAAATAGCATAACAGGATGTGACAAAAAGTAAAGAATCAGAGGGAAATAACACGGGGATCATTTCCAGCCTAAATTGTATGAAACTTACGAGCTAATCTGAGTTGATTCTGAAACTCCTGAGTTCCTGACTCTCAAAGTTTGGTCCAAGTGGCCCAAAATGATACTGAGTGATCAATGGTGACTCAAAGTGGCTTAAATTGTCCAATTGATTGAATATGGGCCTAATTATCTGAAAGTTATATAATTTTACAAAACTTGAGGCAGTGACCAAATTTGACCAAGAGTGGCACATAGTGATTAATTGTGACCCATTTCGACCCATGATGACCTTCCCTGAATCTCACTAATGGTAGCCAGAGTTTATCAATAGAGGTTCAAGGTGACCTACTCTGGCCCCTTCATCTTTGTGCTACAATGCTTTTTAGATAGGAAAAAAAAACCTTACAGGCCCATGAGCCTCTCTGCCAAATATCAGTAGCATCTGAGAGCCCTTGCAAAAGATTTGGTGTTGAAGCCAATTTAAAAAATATGAATTTTGTCAAAATTGGTTTAAGGTCAAAACTTGGTAAACTACCCTGATTGACTTTTGAGACGATGTAGCATAGATCATTACTGCACTTGAGGTGTAATGATCCACCTGTAAACTTTGTAATGGGACAATGCATAGCTCAAAGAATTGTTATTAAAAAAAAACTGATAATCATCTCAACATCTTGTATATGTGCAATATCAAGAGCTTATGAATCTTTTAAAATTTGCTCGAATATACAAATCAGAGATTTCCATTAGGCAGTCTTCACTGCAGTCACAGTGTGGTACGGTCCAAAGAATGGATGTTTAAATGTGGTCATGATGTGTTGTGGATAAAATGTAATTCTGTTTCTTTCTTTTTTAAAAGGCAATTCTGTGAAGGCATATGCCTGTTTCTTATTTCATTTGTCACCATGAACTTGAGTATTGGAATGAGGCTTGAGCATTCCTGGCCGCAAGCGGAGTCAATCATCGCATTGCTGGAAGATGAATGGGCAGCAGAGTTTCAATATTTGATGTGGACTAGGTCTATGATTGGGGATTCAAGTAAAAATAAGTCTGCTTCAGAAAAAGATTATTTCAGAAAATTTAATGATGGGTAAAGTTTCATCAGGTAAATTGTGATCTCTTGAACCATTTCTCTTGACAAAGTTCACTCTTGGGGAAAATATAATGGCAAAATTTGGCATCAGAGAAAGACACTTAGGAAAAATTTCAGTTTTGAGTAAAGAATGTTTGGGCAAATCTGCATCTCAGGTAGTGGTAGAGTTGGGCAAATGTAGGTCTCAGACAAAAAAACTTTGCCCATGAGAACATCTGATATGAATATTACTATCTCCCATAGAAATGGTGGGGCTTTTTAAAAAAAATCATTCTATATACCTGTATAGCATACCCACCTGAGAGGTTAATAGGCTTGTGAATTTGTTTGCAGACTTATAGAGCAGAACAGCAGACCAGATTCTGTCTGTTTTCTACCTCAACATCCCTACTGGAGTGTAGATTCAAATTAGTTTGACTACAAAAGTTTGCTGTTGATGTTCGGAATTAATCTATTCCGAAGCTTGTGAATGAAATACTTCATCAGTCTTTAAGGGATTGAGGGATGTAGAGTGCCCATTGAATGTGTGAAAATGAATTATTCAGGGATGGATGAGGTCTAATTTGCCATGAGTTTGAAATATCATTTTAGTCAATCTGTTGACTCTAGTCTACTCTGGTTTTGTTGAAGGTTTCTGGACCAGACATAGGTTATGTGGCTACATCCATGTGCTTCATTCAGTCAGCTCTGACCATTTGGATGGAGTCTGCTAAGATGCCATCAAAGTAAGTTCTGATGTCACTTCTCCTTCACATGGAACTTAGCTAAAACTTCATAGGAGAGTCTATTTTCTCCTCAAAAATGCTGCAGCTTCAATGTAGATTTGTATTCATTTGGGCTTAATGTGTTTTGATATATTAGGGGAGGTGTGTACTCTCCTGGAGCTGCCTTTGCCAAGACCAGTCTGATTGATCGTCTCAACAAGCGAGGAATCAAGTTCTCAATTGTGAAGAAAGATTGAGCCCTATTTCCACTTCAGCTGCCCTGATGCCACTTTGAAACTACTATTCTTTATGTTTTGTGGGGAAATTTTCAGCTTACTTTCCTTCATGGAAAAAAATTTCATTATATCTTTTGTATTTGTGTATCTGTTCAATGTTGGATCTCACAAAAATTTTTTTTTTTTTTATCATATGGCTTTTGGAGTATATACCACGTATGTTTAGATTTGGCTTACAGCTGTTCATCATTATCTTTGTTTTGCTGCCTCCTTGTCTTCATAGTGCTCCTATTGCTTTGCATTCATATTATTCAACTTGAAAGCACAGGAGAATTATTGTGATATAACAAGTTTATCCACTCATGTATTTTTTAGTGATGTTATGGATTTGAAAGTACGTTGGTGTTCTTGGGTCTGCTGCTGTCAAGAAATAAGGTGCTTATGGCAACAATTGCTACATGGTTGTGAGTAATGGGCATTGATGTATTGGGTTGTAGTCTTTATTGGAGCATAGGCTATATATTTTGGGGCTTTTGTGTATGAATGATCACACAATAGAACAAATGGAACTTTTCTTGGGATCAAGAGTTTCATTTCAGGATTATAAATTCTGTTCATGCTGTTAGAAGCTCAGGAACATGATCACATAGCACTCCTATTGTTATAGCTGTGTGGGTGCTCATTTTAGAAAACAACTAGGAAAGGAGACTTGAAGGAAGGTGATGCATTAACTTTCAGTAATACTATTTCAGGAATAACCTTTCCTCAGCACTGCCCTGGTATATCTATCAGGTCAATTCATAAATAATTTCGGTTTGTTGCCAACTGTTTTGAAACGATTGTAACTTGTTTCAAGTTTGACGCAATAAATCGTGTTAAATGTCATTTGATCGAGAAAACTGTAGACTTTTTGATAATATGCAATTTATTGACTTTCCATTTGGTAAAATGGATGATGAAAAAAACGCATATTTGGCAGTGCATTTTGTGGGAGTTCCAGCAAGGCTCAAATGCAACGGAGAAAGTGAGGAAGATATGCACCTTCTTTGGAGAGGACACCATCACCGATCACCAGTGCAGGAATTGATTCACTAAGTTTCGGTCAAGAGAATTATCGCTCAAGGATGAACCACGTCCTGGTCGCCCTTTGGAGGTCGTTGAATTGAAGCCAACCCACATAAATCCACTTAAGAATTGAACGAAGAACTTGGTACTTCCCAACCGACCGTATTTCGCCGCCTTCTTGCTCTTGGAAAAGTCAGCAAGTTGGGAACATGGGTTTTACGTGGGTTAGCCTCGATTAACACTTCCAATGCATCGCGATCGAACTCCGAAGGGCGACCAGGACGTGGTTCATCCTTGAGCGATAATTCCCTTGACCGAAACTTTGTGAATCAATTCCTGCACTGGTGATCGGTGATGGTGTCCTCTCCAAAGAAGGTGCATATCTTCCTCACTGTCTCCGTTGCATTTGAGCCTTGCTGGAACTCCCACAAAATGCACTGCCGAATATGCATTTTTTTCATCATTCATTTTACCCTTATTATTTCAACATAAAATTGGAAAGACAATAAATTGCATATTATCAAAAAGTCTACAGTTTTCTCAATCGAATGACATATAACACGATTTATTGCGTCAAACTTGAAACAAGTTACAATCGTTTCGAAACAGTTGGCAACAAACAGAAATTATTTATGAATTAACCTGATACTTGCACTTCATGCTATAATCACCAAAAAAAAACCTCCCTATTCAACTTTTTGTGACAGTTTGGTGTTGCACCTTGTAGTATGTATCTGAAAAGCATATCAGAGAAGGCCAGTGAATTTGGGTTCCTTCTAGCATGAGGGCTATATTCACTCTTTTTTTTTCTCTGAAGAACTTTAATTTTTCAAAGCTTCGTTTGACTTAGTAGCTACTAACTCAGTCCAATATTTTGGAGTTAGGTACTTGAGCTAGTAAGGTTATGAAAATTTGGCTCGAATTTGTTGAGAAACATTGGTTGAAATAATTTCATAATTAGTATCAAGGAGAGCTGGTCAGTAAACGGCTTGAAAACATGCATACTTGGCCTTTATTGGGCAGATGGCATTGATTCTGGGGCACTTCATTAGTCACACCTAAAATGGAGACTGATGAAATAGCATTGTTGCTGATGTTTTTTTCCATCATGAATTCATAGCTTAATCCTAGATAGACTTTATCTGCCCTGGGTTTAGGACTTTGTCTAGTACTAGTGCTTGAAGCCATATTCATATAATTCAGCAATTTTTTTGTGCTTATATTTGCAATTATGATCTAGTTCACATAGTAATGCATTCATCAGTCTTCTACAGAAGGTTGACAAAAGTTTCAGAAAAAATTTTTTAAGTCAAATTTTTCCTGTTCCTGTGATTGTACATGGGCAAAATTTTATAGAAATGATGATTGACATTTTGTTTACCCATCGCATAAATTTAATAACATTTTATTTTTATTTACACACATTTGCAAACTGCCCATTTTGTCCACAAACCCTTCTTGTGCAGACACAATGGGAAAACATAATGAATTGACTGCAGCTTAACAGGGTGCCATATTTTATTGCCGTAAGCATGGTGACAAATACTGTAAAAAACACCAGTTACTGGCCCATGTATATCAAGTCTGAAGGCAATCCTCTTGGAGAGTGGCTTAATGGAGTGACAGAAGTCTGTATCATTTGGGGATTCTGGGAACCTTTGACGAAGTGGATAGGTTTTGGTATAGACCATGTTGAGTTTCTTTTAGAAGTTTCTTTTAGAAAATAACCCTTTGACTATGCCTGGGTGTAAAGACTGGGAATTGGACTATCTCATGTCAGATATATGCAAAGACATTGCACCTTTCAGACATTCATCTCTGATGGGTACAATCTTTCATTACATTGTGGAATGCTATCAGCGTTGGCTCATTCTGATTTTGAAAATTGTCCATAACATTATATTATTAGAGAAACTGCTTTGAAAAAGGTATCAAAACGAAGAAATGGGAGTTTCCACCAAAATAAGTGAAGTCAACTTTTGATTGAGTCACCACCCTATATGGCTACCAAATTTAATCAGATTGACAACTCACCAAAAATGACAGCTGTTTTTTTTGGCCCACCCTGTATGTCACCTTCAATCTTAGAAGGGAAAGTAAGTAAACATGTCAGTATTTAATCAGAAAATTATAATTCAATCATAATTTAATCAGAGAAAACTTGCTGAACAGCATAAGAATGAAGAGAGCAATGCCACTTATAATGCTCATTTCCTTTTCTTTTTTTCTCAAGTCCCTTTGCTATTGGCCCATTGCTGATGGTCAAACTAGAAAACAATTCCTGGACAATGTTTCTGAAGACATTCTCCATCAACCTGCTTTAGCACTTATCAACATAGGTTAATTGGGACACGTGAATCAGCCTGATGCTCACAAAGCATTCTAAATAACGTAGGTGAATGAAACACTCAAACGATTCAGTGAAATTGCCAATGGAGACTTTCATCTCAGCTTGGCTTCATAGACATTCAACAATGGCCAAATAGTGCAGGGCAGTGGTGCACAACCTTTTCCCCCAAGAAAGCCAAATTGAGGTTTCAGCTCATGTTTGAGGGTTGCAGGCCCTCAAACATGAGCCAAAATATGCCGAATATGAATATGGATCTTTAGAGACCAGAGGCATCCAAGGGGCCACAAAAAAGGTCTCTGCAAGCTGCAGCCTGCAGGTTGTGCATCACTAATGTAGGGGGTTGTGGGAAAAAGAAGAGCAAATGAAATGTTTATACAGAGTGGAACACAAAAACTTGGGAGATCTATCCCACTTCATAACACATTTTTTCAAGAATTAGTTTAAATTGCAATTTGGCATATTTCTCTAGCAAATTATCCAGCTTTCCATCAGTGTCAACAGATTTACGATCCATGCCACAGGGTTTTCATGCTGTTACTGAAAGTGCTGTACCCTTAAAAATGGAGTCAGGCAACATCCATGCCTTCACTTCCATCTTGTAAGGAAGTTTTGTCCCAAGATTTTGTGACAGTTTCAAGATCTATACTTCAGTCCAAGACAAAGGATTTTCTACTTCAATTATTGCAAGTTGTGCCTCTAAAGATGGTGTCCTTTCAGCAGACATGTCCAGAGAAAAGAAGACCAAAAGACATTACTCAAAAACTCTTGATCTCATGGAATTTCTTTTTCCTGTGATGGTTTTGAAAGAATATCTTACTCCTGATAGACTTTGAACAGTTTCCTGTAAGGAAATGGCTGGAGTTGCTCATGCATAATTCAGCAGCTGATGTGCTGGGTATTCCAGTACAATAGGAAATCTGCCAAGTTAATGGTTTTGAAGCAGGTGAAAGCAGAGTTTACTCTTGTTTCAGCCTGTCAGAGCAGACTTTTTTTGGAAACTCTGCAAAACCCAAGTTCTTTAGCATATTATTAAACACCTTCAGCAAATCTGAGATGGCCTGATCATGTAGTGGCTCTTTGCCAAATGGGTCACAGAAAGTTGATGCAGACCTTTCACATGAAAGTGACAAAGGAATACCTTCTCACCTTTAACCCTTTAATGCATGATTTTTTCTTTTTTGGCGAAAAAAATCTGGTAGGACTCATGTCCTAGAACACTGATCAAGTGAAAAAAATGCTTAAAAATCAAATTTGTAAGCAGTAGGCTTGAAAATGTTATTGTTGCTCATTTGCTACAAACAGCATTTTCAGCTGCATGGATGCTAGAGAGCTCAGTTGGTCTGTCAACATTCATACATACCCAACACAAAAAAAAGTAAAAATACAGATGAGCCTGGACCCTGGATTAGCTTAAAGTATAAGAATATTGAATCAAAAACATCAATCTGTCGTACAATGAAGCCAGATTGGTTTTAATTTGCTTACCACCAGGAGTGTATGGCACCTAGCAACCACATAGTTGCTAGGTATAAGGACCTGACTGTTGCACATCTGCTATGAACAGATTTGCCTCAGGATCTCCTCCCTGCACATTCTAAAAATGTTTATTTGGTATGTAGCATATCTGCGATGTAATGCATTTTCCACGTCAAGTGTACAGGCTTCCAATTCCACAATGCAGGCTCATGGAAATGAATTTGGCTGCTCCTATGAAAACACATTGAATCTGATACTTGGAAAATTTGGAAAAACTGCCTCATTGATTCTATGCCCATGGATTGACATAACCTTAGCTTAGACTGAGCATTGCCACCAGTCAAAAGGCTTTTGATCAGTCAACTTCGTCAGCACATTCCCCTTCCTAGGAAGGGAATAATTTATTCCATTCTCTAGAATTCAGACATTGGGGATGGAAGGTATTAGGGTAAGGGTAAAAAAAAAGGTTCCCTCTCTTTCCTCATACTTGAAAAAATTGAAAAAGAAGTGTACTGCTTCTTGCTTGGTTCTCTTCAGTTACCTTCCTTGTGGCTTCTCCCACTTGCATAGTAAACAACTAACCTTTCTGTTTTTACTCATGGAGTCTACACTGAACCATACTTTTCAAAGGATGAAGAGCCAGCTTTGGGGAATATCTGTTGGAACCCTTGGATAGTTAGTTACATTAATATAGTTGCAGATGAATGGACAAATTTGTGGCCAAAACTAAATATACCATCAGTTGCAAAGCCAAAGAAGCATGTGAAGGGCAAAGCAGTACAGAAATAATGTCCTTTTATTCACAAGGGTGAATTAAGGAGGAAGCAGGGCATTCTTCACAACTTTCTCTATTCACCCAATACACAAATTTCAGATGAAAGCCACTTCCCCAAATCCACATACCACAATGGACTTAAAAAAGCATGATACTTAGCAATGCATCCAATACAATTCCCAATCCTGGAAAACCTTCTCCATATGAAATGTTCATAGCATGCCAAGCACACCTTCAATTATCTCAAAAATGTCATCTCATCAGGAACTTTCTCATAAAAATGGAATGACTAACCAAGTTACCATGCTTGGTACCTACTTATGTTACCAAGAGACAATCACATTGCACAAGAGGGCATGACTGCAACAAAATGAAGTGAAAGTATAAATAATGATTCCAAGTGCTTGTTCAACCTGTGGGAATAATTTACAGTTATCCTAAACACTTCTATCACAGCTTGTGAACACAGGCTGGAAGAGAAAACATGGATCCAGCATAACCTTACAAAGTTCCTGGAAGAAATAAGTCACAGTGTCCGAATGAGCAAAGGGAGCGTAGACAGCGTATTGAATTGATAGTAGAGTCTAGTCACCTGTACTGGACAGAAACTTCTGTGATCCATCTTTCTTCCGCTTGGCTGAGGCTCCTTTCCCTTTGGAAGGGTACGCTTCACGCTTCCTGGATGATGTGCTGTTGTTTGTAGAGGATGAGTCAGTTGGAGAAGGGTTGAAGGCATACTCTCCAACCAATCTGAAGAGTGAAGAATCACTGTCTTCCTCCAATACAGATGATGGGAGGTCACTTGTCCCAGCCACTGGCATGTCTATCAGCTTTTTGCGAGTATTTTTCTTTCCACTGCGCCCATTCTCTTCCAGCTTCTTCAAGAGTTCATAGTGTACCTCATCTCCATTTAGACCATTGATCATTGCACTGCTGTCATCAGCTTTCACACGTGCGGCTTTCACAGTCCGTGTTGAATTCTTTTCCTTGCGTTTCTTGGATTTACTCTTAGATTCAGCCTTGTTAGTCCAATCTTCATCATCGTTATCACTGGGGATCAGTGGCCCTGATGAGTCTTTGGTGTTATTAGTGATGATCCTTTGGTTTGCAATTCGGGAACTCAACCTCCCAATTCCCGTGCATTTTTCTAAATGTGTGGCAAAACGCGAAGCACCCAAGGTGCGCTGACATTTTGGACAGGCACATTCCAAATTTCTGGTATTCTTCATGTCTGAATTTTGGCCAAAAATATCAACTCCAGGCTCATCCACAATCTGGAAATGGAAATGTTGCCAGAATAAAGTGACTGGTACATCTCCAGACACTAAATCATATTCAATACCATAAGTCAGATAACATCAATGAGAATCAGGAATAAAAAATAAAATAAAAAGGGACAGAAAATAAACATCTAAGATGGATTATTGTCTCCTCTCAATGAGCATTTTTCATGGACTTACTTGTTCATCATCCTCCATCTCCAAACATCCTTCCTCTGCTTCCCATACCCCAGTGGTAATTGCTTCGTGAAGATCGAAGGCGTATCGGAGGATAACATCTTCCAGCAGATCCCCAAAGACATGACCAATTATTTCTTCCAAAATATCTGGAGTCCTCATGACACACATCTGGCTTCATGGAAAGACTCCATCTGCACAATGAAGAGAAGGCCAAAACTACAAACAGAATACAATCAAGATTGCCCAATTCAAGGTTTTCCTAAGCCCAACTCTTACATTACGGCCTCGACTATAGGCCTGAATGACCCCTTTACCTTTTACGTCTTGGCCTGGGTTAGGCCTAACGGCCCCGGTTAACGTTAAGGACCAAATATCGGCATACTAATTCGTCATAAAAGCCACAGTGAGAAAATTCGAGGAAATTCGTACGTCTAGATACGACGATATGAGACGAGATGAGGTCACATGCTTGGGTGAGTCTGCAACGCTGAGATGCGGATACAGTTAGACCCGGGGAGGCAGGAACCTGCAATCAGCTGTTCGGGACATGAGGGTGGCCATACTGATTCTCACCGGAAGGTTCCATTCGAGACTCCCACGGCGCTTTGTGCTGGAACGAGGTACTATAAATGTGCCAGTCGTTTTCTGCGATTGATGCTCGGTAAACAGCGCATTCCTCAAAATGTATGTTATGGGCGTGGGACTATGTACTTTGCTGAAGGGTATTGAGACAGATTGAGGTGAAACTCTTCGGATTGTCCTCTGCTACTGATAATGTTTATTCTATCTCCCTTGCGAGATTCATAACTCGTCGGGTACGTCAAGGTTTATCAATGTGTTCAATGCTTGACAACAAAAAATACAGCATAGTATTTGCATTGCTGCAAAAAAAAAACCCTCATAGGCTTCACGTTTGTGTGCCAGAGCAGGAAATAAAATATTTTCCAAGAGCTATCGCAATTTTCGGAAAACGAGGAGAGTGAGTGGGTTTTCAGCACATATTTGATTCCATTTCTGAAAAAATTTGCCTCCAGGTTTCGCATCCGGAAGAGGAATCGCGTTGAAGTGACGCGAGCCCAATGAAAGTACAAAGCGGCTAGCGACGACAGAGTGAGTGATGAAAGACACATGCAATTGTGGGAGTGTATAACTGCATTCCAACGAGTTCCCCCCTCGAGCACGAGAGAAACGCTGCCGCGACCTTAACCCTGCAACTACCAGAACCGACATGGTCGTATGTTTAATCCCTTGTTTCATCTCTTCATTACTAAATACAGTCGACACTCCATAAAACGAAGCTCTATATAACGGAATTTCTACGAATTTTTTTCCCAGCCGTTTGCCCATTCACGAGCATGTTAAAGAGTTTCTCGATAACGAAGTTCTGTATAACGAATTGTTCAGTTTTACGAACGCATTTTTTCGTCCGAAGGAACAAAACTTCCGTATCACGAAGGTTTTATCTGTAGAACACTTCAGAGTTACCTTCTCTCTCGCATTCCTGGAGAAAAAGTTCATCTCATATCTAAATTTAGCATGTTCCACCCCCTTAGACGGTGGCCGTGGGAGAAAGGGAGTCAGTCTTAATCCTCTGAACGAGTAAGATGGAGAAACGAAAAGCTCTCTCCTTCGAGGAAAAACGAAAAGTCATCCTCACTGTTCGCAACGGTGGCAAGAAGGACATCGCGATAAGGATCAGGGTCAGGACGAGTCAAAAATTCCACTCTGTCAGGCAATACAATCCTTCGACCATCTTCGGTCAGAGGCCGAATATCGAGCCTGAAACTTTTCAAGCATCGAGTCCGCTGCAGACCACAGCTCAAAGAATTGTCGGCAGACAACAAATGGGGGATTTTGTTTCCGATGAATGGAGTGGGTTGCTGACCCGTCCAATTTTTATTTGCACATAATTTAGGTACATCTTGAGAGCTGGATTTTTGCAATATTGCATACGTTTAGACTTTCGCACTTATTTTATGAATGGACAACGACTTGCTTTTTTTTTGCCCTGACATTTTGAAGTGATATTGACGTAAGTTTAACAGACCTTTATTTTTCAGTGAAATGAGGGAAATTCCCAATTTTTCCTTGCAACGAATTTTTTTTTAGCCCGTCTCTTTGAGTTCGTTAGATGGATCGTCGACCGTAATCTTTTCAAAATATTTTGTCTTATTGCCGTCTCATGTCTTCACGAAAGTACACGAAGTGCCTGACTTCAAAAGTGTACTGTGCATGATTTGTTTGGCGGTCAAGCTAAGGCGAAAGTAGCACTCCAAGAGAGGTGGTTGAAGAAAATGTTAAGCTAGAGAGAAACAGGTTGGCTATATTGGAATTGTTCGATCGTAATCCGTATTTGCTGACCCTTAAGCCGATAGCTCTTAGGCTACATGTTGCACAATAGGTTACGACAGGCTACACTATCGGCTTCGAATGAAGACGAGTAGGAACGTGGGGACAGCGACACATGCCGTCATGTCCTCTGCGGATATGTGAGGCGTGATGATCATTCATGCATATTAAAATAAAAGGGGGCCAAGGACAGACCCTTGGGGAGCTCCAATTGATGATGCCATGTGTTCATCATCAGACACGAGGACTCGGCGGAAGCGATCTCGATTGTGTTGCGTGACGATTTGAGAGATGCGATTTCAGCAAAAAAGAAAGGTGATACCACGAGTGCTCGGGCTTGAACAAAAGCGATCTATGAGATATGCTGTCGATAGCAAAAAAAAAACTCTTTTCGAAAAGTGTGAAATTGCATGCATAGTGTTGAAAGGCCTTTTCGGCAATCGAACTTTGCTGTAAAGAAGAATGATAGAAATACTTGAACTTTCTTCTCGAAGACTATTTGATAGTGCTGATAGAATCGTCGGGCGGTAATTCGGTTCTTCTCCACCTTCGAATAGACTAGCTCAGAAAAAAAAGCTTGACAAACCCTAAATTTTGGGTGCGGTTCAGTGCGGTTTTCTCGTGTGGCTTCGGAGGAAATTACTGGATGTTAGAGTTCAGGATCATTTCAGTTCAGTGTGGATTTTGAAGTCCTTCGGCAGTTTCCGAGTCATTTGTTTCGGATGAGCCACATCATGGCCGATGATTACGTCTTTCATATGTGCCTAAAAAATAATTAGGGGGTGCATAAAACTTAACTTTTTTTTTTTTTTTAATCCTGAGAACGAACTTGGATCAGTGTTCTGTTTGAATTCTAAAGTCGTTCAGTTTGTGTTCGAAGACCCCCATCTACATCAATCCTGGCCCTTCTTACATTAAGACGATGCTCTCAACCTGTCTATTACTGTTCAGGGACGCTAGAGCGCCATTCAGACATCTGGTGTCAGCGACAGAAAGTAGCAGTTAGGGGGCGGAGGAATCAGAGAGCGACAGGGTCATTTCGCCTCGTCTCGAGGCCTGGGGCCTCCATGTCATCCGTTGCCAGCCTCCACATTCCTCACGAGTCCTCCTCCTCCTCCCCCTGGCTTTGGTGGTCGGGCCTGGGGTGTTCCGAATATTTTTTTAAACATCAACTTCATTAATTTATTGCCTCTTTCTCCTTCTGCTGGAGCCTTGAGGTGGAAGACGTTGCCCCGCGAGGAGTATAAATGCAGAGGGTTGGGGGTGGGCATTAGGCCCACTTGTTTGACTGATGGAATACATTAAAATGCAAATGAGTATAGGTATTTAAAAAAAGAAATCAAATACCACTCTTAGTTTCTTCCTATAAGACAGCATGAGATAGAGAAAGGAAAATATTAAAATCCTCATCCCAACTTGTTTTTTATTCACTGAGCCACTAGCCCCCCCTCCCCCCCTTAAACACACACATACACCTAAAAGTATGTAGATATATATTTCCGATTTTAGGGGACGTTGACATTGATTTACAATATTGATATACGTCGCTGAAACAGGATACTCCAACGATTAGCATATAATGGAGCTCCTCGATTCCCGATCCATCTTCGAGATTTATTTTAGCATCTCAGCGCTTTACAAACGAGTCGTCGTCCTCCGTGCCTTTGGGCCTTTGTCAAACCGACTGCCTGACAAAGGCCCAAAGGGCAATGGGAGTCCAACAGTTGAGTGTCGTAGCAGATAAATGGGAGCAGTGCCCGTCGCCAATGGAAATTCCACGTCGCGTGTCCTGTCCTCGTCTCGATTCCTGAAACGTGGGCGTACGTTTCACTCAGTCTGCAATCTGACTTCCTCTGTTTCAGGGACATAATATATGGCTCTCAGGAAGTTGTTTGTCGGGTATCATATGATTGACACACATATGAAAACTGAATACGGTTCAAGGATGAGAGGATGGAGTGATTGATTGCAGTGCCGTGAGACGTACGTGACTGCACCGCAGCTGCCCTTTCCTGGCTAATTTCGATTCATTTCACTTCCCTTCTTCGTCTTTTTCTCTCAATGCTGCACTTCCCACCGTCTGGTATATACTTTTTGAGAGTATGAGGTGTGGATTGTAATTTGCTGAGCATTGTAATTCCGACAGTTAGGAAAGCCCGAAGTCCGCCTACAATCCAGTCAAAGCAACGAAAGAGTACCGTAATTCCTTAATACCGTAAGCTCTCTAATGAAAACGTTGAAACGGTTCCCAGCTCCACATTATCGACCTTCCCCCATGCCCTAACGACGACTGTCATCCTCCGGACGGTCTCCCACTGGAGAAAGTGAAATCGTCAGGCATGCACCGCGGGAGCCTCCCCTCTCGCCTATAGGAAACGGAACGGACGCACCATCCCCGCCTCGAGCCGTTAGGACGCCTGGGATGAAGGATATGGGATGAAGGATAGAAGGTCGCGAGCGACGCCGAAACTACTTAATTTAGCGAATTTCAATACAGTCATCATATTTGTTTCATCGAATAGAATGGCCTGTCATTTCGCCGAGTTCCAACGAATATTTTCCTGATTCCTCGATTTTCGTCTCGCCGTCGTCTTCGTTCCAAGTAATTAAATATTGCGACGAAGATATTCGTCGAGGGAATCAGCACTGGGTATGCACCAGAGACAGAGACCGATGCAATCGTCTATCGTGTCGATCGTTTGTCTTCGTTGCCGCGACTCGACCCCCCGTTAGAACTTTCCCGACTGAAAATCCAGATAAAGGCTAAATGAAACTAGAGAATATATAAACATTAGGTTTATGGATCAACTCATCACTCCGACAAGGAACGTTTTAAACTCACTAACACACTCATCCGTGTGACTTCCGATTCTTCGTTCTATTTCGCATTCAGCCAGAGGGGGAAAGTGGGCGGCAAGATTTTAATCTGGATTCCTGTCTGGAAGTGCTCCGTTGAAAATATGTGAAGGAAAATTTGTGTGACTCGTGGATACGACAGACACGGCAGCATATATTGTGTCTTCGTGGAAATTGTGAAGTCGCAGAAGGGTCGGGAGAAATTGGTGGTTAATTCCTGCACATTTACTCGCCATCGACCAAAGATCAAGTGCGTGGGTGACGCTTTTTGGCGATTTTGACGTCGCAAAGTGCAGAGCTAGAGCAAAAGTGAAAAGCGGGACAGGAGTCAAGATGCTTGGGGATTTAATGTGAATTCGGAA